AAATAAACCTTTGAATAAAATGTTTTAGATATTAGTCAAGAATTAGCAACATGATTTTATTTCCACCAAAAAAATGAATAAAATTTAGGCTCTCTGAGGGCATTCAGTTGATCTGAATCCATCATGACTAATAACAGGAGAAATGAAGACACAGACCACCCAGTGAGAGGACTGTGTGTTGGTGTGCGAGGAGACAGCCTTGTAATTGAGAGACTGTGCGGTAGCACGTCTGCAGTGGCAATAACTCTCATGGCATGGGCGAAGGGCTGCTCATATAGTAGGAGGACCAGATGATAGCAGCAGAGAAGATGGCCATATATGGAGAGAAGTCCACGTAATGGTGTAGAAGAAGATGGCTACAAGCCCAGTACAGAAAGCAACCCTTATGACCCCCTGATCTTATATTTCTGGACTTCAGAACTGTAAAAGATGCTTAAGCCACCTAATAAATCTTGATGCTTCAGCATGACAGTTTGTCGAATTGACACATGTAGTGAGGCTTAATGCATTATAGCTGGGCATGTTCTCATGTTCTCATCTCAGATCCCTTTCAAGTATTTCAACTTTGTCCTAAAGACTGAGGATCACCTTTTTCCTCTTGTACTATAATAACACACATGATCAGTTACACACACACACACACACACACACACACACACACACACACACACACAAGTGATTCTATTCTCCATTATTGCTTTTAAAAGTACAGACAAAACAAGAAGCAATAAAAAGAAAGATACCCTTTTGTTGCAGTGATTGACACATAATAAGCTGACTATTTTCCAGGCTACCATTCAGATTCCTCGGGTATGGGAATCCTATTTGCACTGGAAATGTGATCCAAGTGCCACAGTGGACTTTCATAGAAGATGTTTGCTATGGTAAAGTTTGTGCTTCACAACTTCCTAGAAGTTCTGGCTACTAGAAAAGCACATTTACATCACTAAATTTGGTTTATTCTGGTGTTGCTAATCATGTTTTATATTGAAGTCTTGTTGACTTCCAGTGATGGTTCCTATCTCCATCATCACTCTCCACACACATCCCAGTTCCCACCCCGACCTCTGTTTAGTGCTTCAGCAGCTATTGGAGTTGAATCATAGCAACTGCAGGAATTGCGTTTGCTGAGTGCATTAAGGACTTTGTTGATAAAGAACATTTCTTTTTTCTCTTTATTTATTCTTCTCTCATACAATACATCCCAAATGCAGTTTCCCCTTCATTTACTCTTCCCACTCCCACCCCCACCTCCCCTCTCCCCCAGATGCGCTGCTCCTCCGTTTCCCTTCAGAAAAGAGCAGGCCTCCCAGGGATGTCAACCGAGCATGGCATAACCAGATGCCGTAGGACTAGGCACCAACCCTAGATCAAAGCTGGACGAGTTTTCCTTATCATCTGCTCCTATCAGCTGTTTGCTCATCATCCCAGTTCATGTCCTAATTTCAGATTGGTCAGATACCTTAAGAAGGCTCATCTGATTGCCTTTCTGCAGTGCTGCCATTAACGTCTTAGGTGAATGTGAGCTCATTTTCTTTTGTAAACCTAGAAAGAGCCTGTAATCCTTCTCTACAAGAAGAGCACTTTGGGTTTTAGATTACCCTGAATCTTGATGCCGTAGTCTGGAATTTGTCTCATCTTATTTTGTCATGTGTGGTAAAGGAGGCTAGCTAGGCACCCTCGTCTCACAGCTCATATTCTCATTAATATGTATTATTAAATTGCCCTTTTCCCATCTCTTTTTTAATTGAGCTTTATTAGTGCTTTAGCCTTTCAGGATATATTTAGAAATTTTTATTAAGTATAAAGCTCGTCATTGAAACACAGCTTGGTTGTTGATAATAGTAGTTGATGGTGAATCAAGCATGGTCAGGTGACCAGTAGAAGACACTTACTTCTTTCACTCTGTTACATAAGTGTGAATTGGGGACATTTTTGGTATCCTGCTTGAGTTTTCATTTCTGCTTAGCTAATCAAAATCATAGCAATTAAGTCAGGCAGTGGTGGAGCACACCTTTAATCCCAGCACTCGGGATCACATGGGAGGCAGAGGCAGGTGGATTTCTAAGTTTGAGAGCTGGTCTACAGAGCAAGTTCTAGGACAGCCAGGGCTACACAGAAAAACCCTGTCTCAAAAAGAGGGTGGGGGACAAAAACCCATAGCAATTAAGTGAAGTAATCATTTCTTCTCTGTGACAAAAGATGCCTTCCTGTGATTGGTAGGTTTTGGGAGATTAAATAAGATCAGGAATTTTCTTTGGGGGGGTGGAAGTCCTTTAACATCTTTCTGTATTTCTTAACTTTTTAAAATTAAATTAATTTATTTATTTTACATCCCCTCAGTTTCTTCTCCTCCCATTCCCTCCCCCAAGAGGGAGACCCTCTGCCTGTCCCCCCCCCATCCACTCCTGTTCTGTTCAGAAAGAGGCAGACCTCCCACAAATATCAACAAGACATGGCATATCAAGTTGCAGTAGGACTAAGCTGCTCCCCTTGTATTAAGGCTGGGCAAGGTGACCCAGTATGAGGAATAGAGTCCCAAAAGCCAGTCAAAGCATTAGGGACAGCTCCTGCTCCCATTGTTAGGAGTCCCACAAGTAGACCAAGTGACACAACTGTCACATATATGTAGAGGGCCTAGGTCGGTCCAGAGATTGTGGAAGTGGCCAACCAATAACTTGTCCAGCCTCAGACCCCTGCCATGAGAATGAGCCTACCCCTGACACTCCCTACCTGGAGTGCCAAGACCCAGAGGCTGGATGACCCAGAGACCTACGATAGACTCAAACACGAATAGAGGGGGAAAATAATGCCAACATAATGATGCCTAACAATATTTCTTAACTTTTTAAACTGAGTATTAAAAAGAGCAAGTTTAGATGCTCTATAAGCTATCTTCCAGCCCAGAAGTTATATATTCCACTAATATTAATAACAAATTGATAATTTTGGCTATTATTAGGTTATTACATTTGGTCCTATTAAGATTAATTTGAATTATTTAGAGTACTACCTCCTATCTATCTGCCAGGTCCTGGCAATATAGTGAAAAGCCAGACATCTTTGAGAGAATTTCTGTTTCATTAGGAGAAAAAGATAAAAAGAAGAGCATGTGTATTGGCTGTCAGCACAGTGGTGAGCAGAGCAGGAGAAACAGAGATGTGGTTAGGAAGCAGCTAGAATCTGAGGGAGGAAGTAGAAGCAGGCTCTCCTCCCCCCAGGTGGAATAGAAATAGGAAGTAAGGCCCAGAGGTGGCTGCTTTTCCAGCTGACCGGAGTTTGATTCCCAGCACCCATATGAGGTGGCTCCAGTACCGGGGATGGGGTAGGATGGGCTGTCTGAAACCTCTAGCCTCTGTTTTAGACACCTGTACTCACATGCCCATACCCACACAGAGATACATGTATATACACATCATTTAAAATAAATAAATAAAAATCTTAAAAAGGAAATAGAAAGTAACTAGGCGTCAAGACCTTTCTCCTTTTCCTGAATCAGATTCTGTGGACATCACTGCTAGGCCAAGAGCCGAATCTCAGTGACATTTAAGATTTTCTAGTAGAGGCTAGGGTATAACTAGTGGTAGAGCATATGCTTAGCATGGGACAGATTCACCCCCTGTACCAAAACAAAACCAGAGCTAATGGTGGTAGCCCCAGTGCTGTGGATGAGACCTGTTATTTCTGATTTTTATTTCCTCGTCTGTAATATGGAAGGTTGGGTCATCTCTGGTGAGTTCTGAGAAGATGAAGAGCTCACTTGCTCCTGGCAACAGCTCCTTAAGTTTGCCATCAGCAAGTTTACAGGTTTACTCTTCAAGATCCAGGTGGTTGCATTGCCAGCCACCCTCCCTGTCTTTTGTCCTCTGTTTGTCCCCAGGGGCCTAGGTAGTAAAAGCCAAAGTTGCTTATTATTTTTTCCTCACTAGAAAACTTGCCGTTTGCATGGGAATGCTAAACGGCAGTGCTTGGCCTTAAAAGGCTTTTGCAGTCAGAAATTGCTGAGGGATGAGTCGGGGGTGTGAGTAGTGAAAACATTTAAGACATCAAGCAAAATTTGTATTACTTCATAAAAAAGAAGATGGCTTTCCCAAGCCAAATCCTGGAAGGGTGGACCCAACCTCAATCCCCAGCTGTACTGCTGATGTGGGAGAGACTGTTTAGAACCAAGGTACTGTCAGCCATTCCATAAAAACAAAGTGAAAATCACGAAGGTATGGGCAATTCTCAAAAAGAAAAAGTGACTGGAAAGAAGGGCCAGGGGCTCTAATAGAGTGCTGTTGCTGCTGCTTCTGAGTGTTTGTTCTACAGGAGATGAAGATGTAATGAAGTCAATTAAGACAAATCCAAGAACAAGATAGAGGAGTAGAGATGTGATGGTGCAAACACAGCCAGATGTGATTGGGGCAGTGAGTCAAAATAGAATGTTCACAATCCGATACGTTGGCTATTTCCGCATGGCTGAAATTTTTTTTTTTTTTCGTTTTTCGAGACAGGGTTTCTCTGTGTAGCTTTGCGTGAAATTTTTATAATATTTAGGGAGAAGAGCATCCATTGAGAGTTTGGCTTTGAACAGAACAAGCAGGACACTCACTCCTTGTTAGGCCAGGTAACTGTGGAAGGTCGACATTGAAGCCTTAATTCCTATTGTTAATGTGGGAGTCGCTGTCACCAGCTGGTCAAGGACTAGAAGACACTGAGACTGAAAGTGGGCAACCACTGTTGCACGTAGGGACGGGCCGAGCAGACGTCAGTGAAGGAAGAGCAGTGGTGCCCAGGTCTGGACCAGTAAGTTAATGGACGCAGTGACAGGCTGGGTGTGGAAGTCAGGGGAAGCATAGCCAGCAGGTGGGGAGTGAGGCCAGCACCTTCTCTGAGTAGTCTTGTCTCTTGGGAGAATCTTTTGTCTCTGATACTGTCTTTTGAACTGAGATTAACAGTATCATGTCACCCTTCTGATACTCTGTCTCTAACTTAGATGAATTTGTTGTCTTCCTTAGGTCAAAGAAGAACGTCCAGAAAAAGTGCCAGACTTAAAATTACTAGTGGAGAAGAAATTTTTGGCTTTACAGGATAAGAATTCTGATGCCGACTTTAAGGACAATGAAAAGTTTGTGCAGTATAAGCAGCAGCTGAGGGAACTGAAGAAGCAATGTAAGTCGGCCGCTTGGCCTTGGCCTCTTGAAATGAGGGTGCTGACCTCTGAGCAGTCCTGCCGCACGGGCTCTGGAGTGTTGGTTCTCTGCTTGCTCCATCCTCTCCTGAGTGCCTTGTCTTGTTGCAGTTTTGTGTTTGTCTAATTTCAGTTCCATCGCCTGTCCATTTCTGAGAGCCTACAGTTCCCACAAAGTGTCTCACGGCTGGGGAGGGGAATTGGGAAACAGAATAAAATGGGAAACCATTGTATTCAGGAAACGAGGGTAATTCTTTCCAAATATGAACTGTTGTGCCAAGCTCTGAGGTATGTTTTTTCACATGTGCTGCTGTGTAGCATCATTGGTGAAGCTTCCTCAGCAGAGTCTTCTCAGATGGGATCAAAGGCCCTCTGACACTGTACCCTGGCTACTGTTAATTCCATGTGACTTTTAAATTGGCTTCTATTTGAGATGACTGTTGTATGTAGAGTTTTTAACCATCATAATTTTGACTTGAAAATGAGAATCAGGAAAATCATTCATCACACACACACACACACACACACACACACAATCTTAGAGTGTACCAGAAATAATATGTCTCCTTTGCCCAGTGGAGAACCAGTACTCCATTCTTTCCTGGTTTTCCACGTGGCCCTCAAAACAGTGTCAAGTGAGCTGCATCTTTTTTAGTCTTGGCATCTGTTTAGTTGTGTAGGGTTTTTTTGTTTTGGTGTTTGTTTGTTTTAGGATTGAGATTCATTTATTCCTTAAAGAATCGTATAGAAGAGCAGATAACTTTTCCCCTCTTTAACGTCCGTCTTCTTTCACGTTCATTTGTGAAAGAGCAGGGATGTTAAATGTGACATAAATTCCGTTTGTGTCCTTCCATGTACTCAGTGTAGCGACTTGTGTTTTAAAGTAGGCCTTCTTCTAAATATGAGTGTTTTCTTTAAATTGCTGCTGAGATCTCAAAAATGACTGAGCAAGCTGCTTCAGTTTTGTCTATTTTACAAATAACTTAAGTTTCACAATTTAGAGTGTTTTGCAATCCTGCTGAGACGCTTGCTGTTCTGTACATTTAAACAGTAAGTAAGCATTTTCCCTCTGTTGGTTCTTCATTGAATATTGTCACTGCCAAAACCTTTCTAAAGTAATTTTGTACTGTTCCCCCAAATGGAGAATGACCCCCCGAAGAGAGATGATGGGACTTCCAGTTTTCATGTTTGTCGTAGTAGACACATACTTTTAAGTTCAGTGTACTTGGATCTACAGATTATGACAGACATAACATCAAGTCAGAATCTCTTACTTTAACAGTATTTCATAATAAAAACTGAGGGGTAAATATAAATAACATCTTTCTTCCTTTGTTACTTACTCACAAAGTTATTGTTCTATGAAAGAAATTATAATGACTTTTAGAATAGTATGGTCTTGGGGAAAATTTCTAATTAAGAGCATGTAATGCAACAAAATCAGTATTGAAGTTGTTGTTATTATTTCTTTAATGTGTGCAGAGAGAAAGAGAGGAGAGAGAGAGAGAGAGAAGAAAGATGTGTTTCCCCAGGTCCAGCCATACACATCATCTGGATAGTTAAATCTAATGACAAAGTAAATTTATATTGAAAGGAACGCTTCCTTATGTAAGAGTTCCCCATGCATTGCAACACTGGGATGAACAGAACTTTCCCTTTAATTTCCCCTAAAATGTTACTTTTAAAGGTCTACATCTTGAAAGGCAGAGCAAACAAAATATCTTTTAAAGTGCTATGTAAGATGCATTTATGGTGCTTGCAAAGTGAAATTCTTAGCTTAATGTTTTGAGCACTGCCAGTTAAATTTGCACCATGTCTGATAGACTTTGTTTTTTAAATTCTACTTTGCTGTGAGAGTCTTGATGAGGACCAGGCTCCCACAATGATTATGAGTCCAGATCCTAGGTATACTGTGACTTACTACATAGGCCAGTGGATCTGTTTTGAGATATGCTCTGGAGTTAAGGAGTTGAAATAATAATCTTTTGTTTTTAAAGATTGGAAAGTAGAAGTGAGAGACAGACCCTTGCTTCTAGTTACCTATTTTGATGAAGTAAAAACTGAAGTGAGATCCAGGCAGAGTGGAGGAGCCTGTAATCCCAGCCTTCAGTAGGTAGAGGTGAGAGGATCACTGCAGTTTGAGGCTAGCCTGGACTACATCGTTAGTTTCAGCCAGCCAGCGCTATATGGTGAGACTCTCTCTTAAAAGATAAAAACAACTAAAGAGTGTATGTAAAGGGTTGTTCTTTCATGAAGACAATCATGATATTTTCTCCATGTTCATTATGTGAGGTATAATTTGCAAGGGATTTAATTTGTCAACTCCTAATTTAATCAAAGAAATGTCAGGTCGTTCTTGAATAGGGTTACTCAAGGTGGAGGAGGAAAGTGGTTGAGTCTGGTGGGCAGGACTAGGCGCACTCCACTGCAGTCACAGTTCACCTTGCTATAGCTAAGCAGCTGCTTCTCAACCTTTGTGATCCCATGTCCCTTTAACATACTGAAAATACACTTGTGAGGTCCCAGACTTTAATTCACATGTGTGTGTCTCTTAGTAGTTATCCTATTGGAAATCAGAGCTGAGGGTTGAAAGATAAGAATCTACTTTAAGAACTCTGCCCTTTACATATTAGGTATAAACAACGTTTATGTGAAGTGTAACTATTCCCCAAACAGAAGGAAAGTTTACTGAGACGGTGTGTTGTTTCTAATTTTTGCAAGGCTCACTTCTGGCCCACAAAGCAGCTGGACCCTCTTTCTTGCTTTTGCATTGCACTGTATAGCTTGTTCTGGTTGAAAAAAAGTAAGGTCTCACACATTGTTGTGGCAGTTGCGTTTTCAGACCAGCAGAAATTCCCATTTTGAAAATACCAGATCTGGGCTGTCTGTGGTACAAATTCAGCTGGCAAACTAGCAATAGTTTTTATACTGTAATTATTGGGGGGATTTTTCAATTGTTGGGATCAAAACAGGGATAGTACTTAGTGATGTGAAAATAACATGAAAATCTGCTTTCAGTGTTTATAAATAGGTTGATTAGAACCCAGACGTGCTCGCTTGTTTGTGTATAGTCTGTGGCAGCTTTCACAATGTCATTTCAGAATCCCTATTGCATCACAAACCACCGGCCCACTAAGCTTGTAATACATGCTATCTGGTTCTTTACAGAAAAAGTTTACTGATTCCTGATCTAAACTACATCCAGAAATAAGAAGAGTTTCTTGTTTCTTTTTAACTCTAGATTCCTTGCCCATCCACCCTGCCAAATACCATCCATTTATCTTAGTACGTTCAGAACACTGTAATATAGAACACTCGTTGTACATTAATCCATGCAGTTGATAGTCTCAAATGAATACAAGTCGGGAACTTAGTACTTGGAAAAAGACAATATACAAACATAAAACAACGTGAGAACCATTAACATAATAAACCAAAAGCAAAGAAAGTGTCAGAAACACGTATTATGTGAGGAAAGTCAGAACATTTCATCTGGCCTGCTCATATTGCCTGTCAGCGGTAGGCAGTTGTTCTGTGGAACGGTCTGTTCAGAACTTCCCGAGGGTGGGTTTAGACTCAGCAGGAAAGAAGATGCTGATGGATTGCAGTGGGAAAGAGGAGGCAGTGCAAGTGCTAACGTTTACCATCCCAGAATGTAAACCTAATGGACCAACTATTGCTTAAGGACAGCATTACTCCAAAGAGTAATGTTTTATTTGCATATAATAATGTTGTAGTGATTATGTCTTGTAGATAAATTAAATATCCATCTGGCTTCTTTGAACACATCATTTTTATCCCTTGGATACCTGACAGCCTGTTGTGGTTACTTTCCTTGTTGTTGTGGTAAAAGCACCTGGCAGAAACAACCTCAGAGCAGAAAATTATGGTTCAGTTTCCGAGATTTCAGTCCATGTTCATGTGCTTGGAAATGGTGATGACAGCAGTAGCATGTGGAGAAGGCTGTTCACTTCTTGGCTGATAGGGAAGGGTGCATGGCAGGACAAGACCAGGGCCAGGGACAAGATAGACCCCAGATCTGTCCCTGGTGACCCCACCTCCTAAGGTTTCCAGAACCTCACAAAGATGGGGACATTAGTGTTCAACACCCAAGCCTCTTGGGGAAATTTCATACTTAATCCATAATACGTGTTAGAGAAAATAATGTCTACCCAGTTTATTTCTTAGGGTTGTCACCTAATTATGTGAGGTACTGGTTCCTTGCAAACTCTCAAACTTGCTTACATTTATTATTGAAAGATCCTAGTTTATAGCATATTAGAAAGAATATGACCTTACTAGCCAGAAAAAGCTACATCCCAGCCTGACAAATTAACTTTTATATGGGTCCTTTTTGTTGGCTTGTTAAGATACCTATGTAGTCTGCATTCATCTGAGGTTTGTCCCCTTCCTTTTACTATGATAAAAGTCATGGTCAGGCTCTGTATTGTACCCAGTACATGAACTTCTTAGCACTTGTGAATTAGTGAATGTCAGCCACCATTGTTTGAATGCCTGCCTGTGCACAAGTACTATATATACATTGCTATTTATTTCTAAGCCTGTGCACAAGTACTATATATACATTGCTATTTATTTCTAATCACTCTTCAAGATGATTGGAGAGAGGTAATATAACTTGCTTTTGATCCATAGTGTCGAAGTTCAGGTACCATTTCAGTGACACCAAAGCCTGGTTTATATTTCTTTTTGTTTTTGTTTATCTCAAGTTATCCTGAATCTTGAAAAAGACTTTTTTTCTCTTACCTACTTCACCCATTTCTTGAGAGATGGACTTGTACGACTGTCAAGTAATAATTCATCTGGGTCACCAGGTCATAGAACTGAACTGATGTACTCTAATGACCCTGAGGGGAGTCTGTTTGTCTAGCTGAGAGGAAACTGTTCCTAGCAGTGGCATATAGAAAGCAGGGAGTTGAGATGCAACAGACATTGAATGTTCTTCTTGTCTCAAGCCCAT